TATATATATATATATATATATATATATATATATATATATTCAGTTAGCTAAATATCTTTTATTGTGTATTAGAAGGAAGTGAGGACTTTTATTTAGGTGGAACCGGAAGTTTTTCTGTGCGGGCGGTAGTTTTTTTTGTTGTTGTTTGGCTGGCGTTGTTGGCAATTAAAAGGAATTATTGAGCTACAGAAAAAATTGTATTCTTATTGAGTAACACTAATGATTACATTCTCTATGCATTATGAAATGCTAAATAATAATCCATACTCGCATATTAGAAATTAATACTGATTTCCGCCTCATATCGGCGAGATGAATATTTAAAAAGTTATTTAGCATAATCACTGCTAGAAAGCCACATGAGATGAACAGGCAAGCCATAACAAACTAAACTAAAAGTAAAATTCATATCCCTTGTGATGGCCAAACACCAGGCCACACTTAAAGTTTGTAAACGCACACGCACCTTCATTTATCCTTTTTTTTTTAAACACACATTAATTTGCAATAACTTTAATTGGTTTAAATGCATTTGTTCTATTTGTAAGTGCGCACATTTAGTTTACTGATGTATTTTTATCACTTCATTTGTATCTTTTGTGGTGATTAATGTGAGTAATTCTTGTTTCTTTTACCAGTTTATTTACCTGCTGTGACCACTGGAAGTGGCCTGACAAAAGATGGTGGTCAGGGCTCAGAGCAGTTAAATGCCTGAAGATAATTGGACTGCACCACCAGTTCCTGCTGGAGAGGGGGAAATTTGTGTTCTTCTTTAGTTAAACCAGCGTTTGTTATTTCACTAGATATTTGTAATTAAAGTTTAGTCATTTTGATTTCTTCTTTAAGGTTTTGTTTATCAACAAACTGGACTGCGCTGTCGTGTCTTATACTTAACCTGCGTGAAGTTGGCCCCCCATATGTTTCAGATTTCAACCAAACTCGTCTCAATCGTATGTGCCGCATTTGTGCCGTTAAAATTTTTGTCTGTGCTGTTTTAGTTTCTGAGATAAATGTGTGTTTACATGGTGACGTCATCTGCGTGAAGTTGGCCCCACATTCGTGTCTGATTTCCACCAAACCGATCGCAATCGCATGTACTGCGTTTGTGCTGGTTTGTGCCGTAAAAACTGTCCTTTGTGCTGCTTTAGTTTCTGAGATATTGTTTGTAAGGTTGCCCCTCCACCTCCAATTTTTGTCTGATTTCGACCAAACCAGTCGCAATCGTTTGTGCTGTTAAAACTGTCCTTTGTGCTGCTTCAGTGCAGATATTGTTTATTTACATGGTCACGTGACTCCGCCGTTAAGTTAGTCCCCCATTTGCCTCCCAGTCGGTCTCAATAGTTTGTGCCGTTTAAAAATTGTCTGTACTGTTATTTTTCTGAGTTATACCTCTCAGTGTATGCCTTTACCTGATCGCCGTATAGTGCTCAGGCTCATGTTTCTCATGTTAACAGAAGGTGGACCGTTTGGTGACTCCACAACAAAGCTGTACGTAGACTTTGTCACCCCGCCAGCCAGATACCACATTTCAGGATCGTGCTAGATATTTCCACAAATGACTGACCGTTACATACTGCCTCATTTATCATCTGTTCTACCAACTCATCACAGCACAGTACGTCCATTCCTTGAGATATGGGAGTGAAAAAGCAAAACGACAGTATGGAAAGTGACTCTTGCGGTGTGAGAAGTGATTGTGTGCCATTTACAGTGGTAGTGGTAAAGCACATCACAGAACTCTAAATCATGTGCAGACGTACATAGCACTTTGCTACAGGGTAATGAACGCCCCAGCACCAAATGCAACCAGTTAATGCTTAATACTGTACAACAATATATAATAAACTCTTCATTTTGCCTGCACTGTGTACTGTGATGTCTTTACCTTCCCATGGACCCTCTCACAGCGGTTAAATATAAATGAAGTTTTACTTTCTCCCTCCACTCAACCCGAACTAACATTTATCCAATCACAACTGAGTTTTGTAAAGGTGGCGACCAATGTAAGTTCAACTATTAAACACTTTAGCGACGAGTGCATAATCATTGACCTGTGATCGCCATTAATTTAAATGGTCCTGTTACTAAAATAATACATCGACATCAGAAATATGCCATAAAAGGTACGTACAATTTGTACATTAAAAAAGTATTGACATAACTCGGTATATTGAAGGCAGATATAATTACAATAGAAAATTTCTGTAAGACAGTTAATGCACAAAGCTCTTTTGCACATTTTAATTAACAAATAGTTATTTGATATATACAGATAAAATACATAAATATACTGAAGTCGTGGTCATTTCCATTTCTTTTGATCAGATGCCCAAAATTCCTAGCGTCAGCAAGGATCAAATAATTGAGGTTCTCCAGACAGCACAAGATCAAATTGTCTGTAGCGGTCATATAGCTGTTCCTTCTGATGATGTGTGGATTGCTCTGAGCCAGCAGCTGAACTCCAACATTTCAGCCAAAGCATTGTAAACTTTTGTAAAATTAAACCGCCATAATGTATGGCAAGGTTTAGGGCTAGCTGTGTTAAAACATGTTAAATGAGCAGATATGGAATAAAGTGAAGTGTGCCTGCACTCTTTTTAAAAGGCCAAAGGTGTATCCAGCATCACTTACAAAATTTTTGGCCATCAAAGCACACTGCAAAGAGTGCAAAGGCAGACTTCTCATTCACTGTGTCAAAGAACCCAAATAAAATGAATGTGCTCTCCTCCACTGCATTCTACAAGATGTTAATGAGACACT